GGTAAGTGTCTTTGCACAGGTAATCAAGGGCCAAATGTCGAAACATATCATGGACAGGTTGCTCCGTACGCAACACCAAGCCAGTCTGTGGTACCAGAGTAAACCTGGTTTGAAATACTTTGTGATTCGCTAGCATGTGCGTATCATAGGGGTGCAGAAACGTCATGTTGAATGCGCATGATTTGACACGCCGATGCATACTGGCTCCAGGCACGTGACCAAACCATCTCCAGTACTCTTGCGCCCAAATGTTTTATTTCTGTTCTGCTCCATGCCTCGACCAATAGACCCTGGGTTTGGGTCGCCGAACAAAAAGCGGTATAACAGCCCACAATTGGGACATTTTCTGGTTACGAGTGTTTGTGTGTGTTTGCTGTGAGGTCGTTCCAACGCCAACCACGTTTAGTTCAACTTTGGGCCCGGACTGGTCTGATGACATCAAGAATCATCGTGTTAGCACTCTCGAATAATTGTCTTTTCGTGATAACCTGGATCGTGTTGGAAAAAAAGCCAGAAAAACCGACGTGGTCATTGCGGTACGGATTCATGTTTCAAGCAGCTAGCTGCAGACAGCACTAGAAGCCTGATCGTTTTTCTATTCGTGGCTGCCTCGTGCAATGTGTCGAGTCAGGAAAAATGCAGCTCGTGCCCAAATGAATAGTTCCGTACCTCTGAATATGTCCGACATCCGGTGTAACGGGTGCACGGTGTCATCGAGTAACGCGTAGTACCAGAACCTCCGGGTAGGCAAAACAAAGTCGGAGCTGGGTTTCTATACGGTACTATTAGTGTAAGGCAAAATCACAAAGTATACAAACCTCGACAGTAGATACGCGTCTAAAACAAACGGTCCACTTGGACTACAAAAGTACAAACAAAGGGAACAAACAGGCTCCCACGTGCGACAGTAACACGTGCAAATTCGGCTACAAATGGCCGGATGACCTCAAGGCCAAATGGGTGAAGTGGTAAGGACATACAAACATCAGTTCATATATACACAAATGGGGACAGAATAAACGTAGGGAATTTCATTGTCAACGTAATAGATGATACATCCGGTGTAATAGTCAGGCTAGGAAGACTTGGCTCAGCTACTTACTTAACGTAATTCATTCAATGGCTCCATGGAACTCTTACGATCGATATTCCATTGCAATGAAATGATAATGAGTCAGCATTGGAGGTTGAAGCTCTGGCCCCTGTATCCATATGCATCCAAAATTCAACACCCTGCTGGTTTAGGGCAGATACCGAAACCGAATAGAATAGCTCAGGTGATCTAACAAGACACCGCATAATCCACTGTGAGGCTAGGTTTACTGACTGAGCGAAATCCCAAATAAGAACACCATAGACTCTGGATTCTTTCAACAGAAAAAGCAATTTTCTTAGTACCAGCGAACAATAGACTCGATACAACAAAACTGAGCAAGTCCAACTACACCGATTAGGTCGAACAATTTTGAAGTGACGCAGCTCCCCATAAAACGGTTCTCAATGACCTTAATTCAGACGTTATCAATGTAATCAACACACAAAAGTTTGCCAAAAAGACCAGGCTGAGAAAGAAATTATATGGATCAAAATCTGCACAACCAGGTGAACTTGCAAGAGTAGACAAAAGAGAATCTCCCTTTCCAAAAACTTCCTTCACAGCTTGAGACAATTACCTTTGATGGAGAGTGGAACACTTGATCTCTAATTTTGGATACTAAATAAACGAAAATGATGAGTTGGAATTTTTTCCAAAACAAAATGAGATGTTGTAACCCATAGTTTCGGTTGCCGTTGGTAACCATTTTAAGAGAATTCTACAATCATCTCTACAGTCAGCTAATGGTTTCCTAAACTAGTTATAGAATGCGTTTTTTGACGTCACAGTATTGGTCAACTTGATCAAACACTACCCAGAGCTGAGAAACTCCAGTGGAGTCAATTTGAAGTAATATCATCTTGATCAATACAAAGAGAACCTGGGAGCCGGTTGAAGCTTTTGGATCTATGCAGGTATATATGATTTAGTCATGGCGGTAAAGTATGCAAGCAAGTACAAAGGACGCCAATAGGGCCTGCAATGCCACTTGTTATCGCTTGTGTAGTAATGGAGAAACTGGAACCCTTTATTCCAACCCAGCTCAGTATATGATACTTTCGTCATCAGGAAACAGTTCACTGGTGCACTATTTCTCCAACGCTTTGTGGTCCATCATCCTGAAAAAAGGAGTTAGAATAGTAAGACGCACGAACACACAAACGAGTATAGATGTCCCCTACACGAGGAAATAATGATGAGGAAGACTGCAGCAGCAACGTGAAATAAAGTAAAGATAAAATTCATCGCCGAAGAGACTCAAAAGCCCTTTGTTCATAGTACTCCTCTTCTAAAGGTGGAATCCAAGCTAGCATGATATGGTAGTACTTATAACGCTGATAAGCACCTTCGGACTGTCGAGTATCCGCCTGTCTTTCAGCAACTTAAGCGGTGGGCGTAACTCCAGAGAGAAAATTAGTAACATTTTGTGCCTGGACGCCTAGTTAGAGATAAACATTCATTGAAAAATTAGGATGGTTTCTAGGGAAGGCTCATGTGAGGCCCACAGTGGATCTTTTGTTTGTCACTGGTCGGTTGAAACTTACCAAAGCTATCCGCAAAATTCATGAAAACAGGAACGAAGGCAACTTGCTGTAGATAATTTAGCATCAATAAAGTTATGAATACCGTATCAAAAATTTTAAACACACTTTTGTCCTTTAGACAAATTTCACTGTTGTCAGCAGTGGCTAGTAGAAGAGGGTTTTCATACAGGTCTGTTGAATAAAAACTAAAGCCCTTGGTCCAACTCAGTCGTAACGAAGCTTAGCATATCCCGCTACTCATTACAAGTCGATATGCCACAAAGTTTATCGTCCTGTGAAAAAGATACATTCGGGTACTGTAACAAAAGAGTTATGTCGATGAAAAAAATACTGAATGGGGAATTTTCTGTCCACCTTTCTAGCTTCAGGATCTTCAAAGTGAGGCGGAAAGGAAAGTCTAGAGAACCCTTGTGAGCATAGAATATACCAGAATAAAGTAGTCTGTCGTTTCGAAAAAGTACACTTGAACAGAATCTAGGCATTCATCTTGCAAGGGTCGGAGCAATTCCCTTGTGACGGCGGAAATATCAGTAGATTTAGGAGGCTCTTTTTTCGATAATGGTATCATACTTGACTGCATTCACGATCTTGTTGAATGTGGTCTCCAGCTGAATTGGCCGGATGAGGTCTCCAAATCCCTTTCTATAAGGGATGAAGAAAGATCCCGGGTAAAATCAGTGGGATGATAAGTCTGGGAATCCTGCTTAATTTCAAACGGCAGTTGAGTTGAGGAAACGTACATGTGGTTGGGGCGAGATTTGTCAGGGCTAAGACCGGAAGGTCCGTGGTTAGTGTGAACCCAACCTCTGCCACTCAACTTATTCTGTCTAGGCCTGGACAACGTGGCGGCATCCCAGCCTTCGTGCATCTTTCTGGTGGCACGGCGGTCGGGCACCGAAGGAATTCCACAGCTAAATGGTGAATGCTCATGTAGTGCTGTGATGTACAGGTTATTTTGAAAGGTACTCATATCACATCAACACAGTATGAGACCAGTGGAATTTTCCTGTTCGGTTATTTGATTTGCCACTGGCAATTTGACTTACCGGTAGACGCACATCGGTGCTTCAGCCAATCAGGTGAATGTTCCTCTTGGGTAAAAAAAAACAATTAAGAAATACATGTGTTGAATTCATTTTTTGCATCAGTATTTCTCGCCCTGTTTACATATCCATCAGCCAGAGAAGTGTTCATGGGGTCACGTGGTTGTTGACTTGGGGCTATGTGGTGGGCATTCTCGAGGTGTCATACTAAGGTGAACGGACTCGCCTAAAAAGACGATAAGGATGGATAGACAAACATGTGCAAATTTGCCAGACGAATATGGTGTACGCACGCACGTGCGTACGTTAGTGCGCATCAGGCATTGGTCTACGTGAATAGGACCAGTGAGCCGTGCTTCTTCGTACCTGTCAGCCTCTCGTACACAGATGCGAGCGCGTAATACGCGCAACAGACAAAGGTTAGCTTTGTAGGCGCGTGTATGCACAATCTTGCTTTCAATGCATACATGATTCCATGCGATGACACGCAGTAGACATGGGGACCCAAATCACATCTTTCGTTAATCCATACCGCGCCCATATCAGTAAAACAATGCTGTGATCATTATCTCATCATCCCGATTGAAACTATTCTGAATGGAACATGTGGAAGGGTTGGCTTTGTTGCCATACTGTTCCACCGCGAAAATCAGGGCGACCATCTAAATCGCCATCACCGAAATCCAAACCTAAAGAGGAACATACAACAACAGTTAAGGTATGTGAACCGGTACAAAACAATCACGACAGTCGCAATGCTGCAGGGAATTCCGCTGCTATCCCCAATGCATCCACAACCAGGCACGACGATTTACCACCACCTGTGAGTACAACGAATGGGATAAGCCCCGTTCCAGACGTTGGTTCTACGACAGCCAAACACTCTCGTCCGGAAGGGCCCAGCGTGTCATTCACAACTAATGTTGATTTCGAACAAGACACTACAAGTTTAGAGCACACAAGCCCTCGATTAAGGAGTTTTACTTACAGACCAGCATGGACATTGCAGGATGTACCAGGTGGTGATGATTCTGACGTGCACATTTCTGTGACTAGATTTGGTGATGATAAAAGCAGTAGACAATCGACCAAAACTTCTCAAGAGTGTGTACGCACCTCTTGTCGTAGTTTTACCAAAATTCTAGATGAAGACGTTGATGCCCTTTTTACTAACTCGCATCGATTCAGCCGACCTGGTTCTTTGTTTCATCCTACTTTCGTTCTCCCCCGTATATCCACCGAACCGAACGCTTCCACAATGTCCGAATCGATGGATGATATGACTGGGCAACCGTTAAAATTGTTCCCTGTACGCAGAGGATCTATGATTGTACGCTCCGGTAGAACGAATGTTGCCGGAAACGCAACCTTCACTGGGACCTCTCCTGATCAGACGGTAGCAATGGAAGGAGTTATTGTGACACCGTTTGCTCAAGTACTAGTTAGCCTACAAAGGATTCGGCACGCTTTTATCCGACTCACCTCAGCACAGAGCACACACCGGTAAGTGTCTTTAAAATTTTGTGTGAATTTCTATCAGCGTTTTCTTATATTAAAATGGTTTGTTCACATGTTAACAAGGTCAACAACTTCGTTGCTATGCTTTAATTATCAGTGGTTTCTATGTCTAGGTTACATTTCGAAATAAGGTTTCAAAATAAAAAAATACGTTATGTTTGGTCGGACAGCTTAATTCACAACGAAACATTGTTCATAGTGGAAAGCGAACAGATATGTTCTAACACACATTCACGAGAGTCCAAGACAAAGCGATTCAGTGAACCCGAATAGATTAGTCATGAACGCTTCAACCGGCAGTCGCAAAGACCACCGTGACTACCTGACCCCCGGTTGTTTCGACAGCCCGCAGAGACTATAATAATAGTATGATTTACTCACAAGCAGCAAGTTAGCATCTATCCACACTTGGGCCTTATTGATCAGTGAATTTTTGAATGTACACGTTACCGAACCACGTGGCATGTGCCGAATTTTGTGCGTCAAGCAGACAGGCATTAGGGCAAACTGCTTTAAACCATTGCGCATCACCGCACAGTAAGCTAACGAAAAAACACAAACGTGCAGCTAAACAAAAACTACGAAAGTAGAAATGCTCAAAGCAATTTCAGACTTGCCGTAAGTTGTGACCACTGCATTCCCACTTTTCCGATTAGATGATTTTTCAGAGAAACTTTAGTACTTAGAGTACTTTAGTGTTCATAGTTCACCCTCACATCGCAACAAAAGAGTCTAGACTGAATGTCAAACAGACATAAAAGCACCAATTGTAGTTTTGTGTCGTATGAACAAGAAAGCAAAGAAAATGAAGGAAAATATTTGGCGATATGGGAATTGTTTTCGGCTGACCAGTAAAAGAACACTTGTATAAGAACATGATAGACACATGCTAACAGAACGTCCGAGCAGAACAAGATAGAGAATGACTTCCATTGGCTACGCATTGTTCTCATTAGGTCTGTTCATTAATTCATAGCCCAATACAAACTGTTTCAATTATGCTGAAGACTTCGTCCAGTAAGGGGAACCAAACTATGCTAAAAAGTCAAACAGCCTTGTGCATAAGAATGAATTCTTACTGTGAATCATCAGCAGTGTGCAACTCTCTGAAACCCGGGGGGTTTGGAATCCGCGACTTCCTGCCTACCAGCAGTCCGATTAGCTCTTACTTGGGGTATAGCGCCACTCATCCTTCAGTCACGGAAACTACACCTCGTGGCCACGTATTGACTGTCTCCTCTGTTGAAGAATTCTCATATGGAAGTTTCATTCATCCAGTAAAATAATTCTACCTCCATCCTTCAGCACGGAAACTACACCTCGTGGCCACGTATTGACTGTCTCCTCTGTTGAAGAATTCTCATATGGAAGTTTCATTCATCCAGTAAAATAATTCTACCTCTGATCCACTTATAATTTGATGGTAAGGAAGTTTGATTATTTTTAACTGAGATTTGGTCCTGTTAGTGGGGTTATTCTGAACTTGTTTTTTTTCTTACCAAGAATCATCAGCATTGCAAGTTGCACTCATCTCATTTCTTCTAGGTCTGGGGTTCATTCACCACTTACCTACGTCCACGGCTTAAATTCATTTACTTTATTCATACCTGTATTACGGAGAGAAGAGTAGGACTTAGATTGCCTTCAGAAAGGTTCTATGGGTTGGATTCCCTGTAATTTTCCGATATTTAGCACGTCTGCTTTAAACGCTATAGGAAAACACATGCTGTCGCTATGAGATTACCCATTTTCAGCTTACTATTTTCACGCTGGGGTGTGAGAAAACAGCACTTTATCGTAACCGTGTTTCCCTGTACACCCGACAAGCACTTATCTTCTACACTTGAGTGGCAGATGAAACAGTGCCCTTCGCTCTCTAGAGATCTTCAGTGACAAGAGGGAAATTGATCTGCCTAATTCGCTTGCTAAGCGCCTGATTGTCAATAAACCATCGTCGCCAACCTCACTCCATTGCTATAGAAGGGAAACCTATCGTGGACAGCGCAGAATGTACGCTTACGTGACACTGTACCGGAACTATCGGACCACTTAGCTTACTAGTGGTATCACCCAGCCCATCCTGGCAACGGCACAGTATCCATCCTAGGTGCGTTTTTGGAGAACGGACCACAGGACAGGCGTAACATTGGCTTTTAAAGTTATGTATGTAGTCCGTATCCACATATAGGTATGAACATTTACACGGCAAACAGCCGAATTAATTTGTTCCAGGTTGCACTTATAAACGGACAAGGCTAGCTGAACCGGCCACACATTCAGGGCGGGACAAATGAACTCCCAGGTCAGACACGCGTAGGGACAAAATGGAAGCTTGAAGGCAAGTATGTGGACTACTGAATGAAACTACGTGTCATTTCTTCGGTTACCATCATTGGGGAATTGACTGTACCCAGGAGACGGGAAAATTATTCCCCGAGATGCACACTGGAAGTAGTCAGTTATCAAATTTCAACCTTAGAATAAGACAACCCTCATTGCATTTTAACGTACCTCCGTAACTGGTCAGTAGTTGTCTAACTCATAAAATCCACTGGTTAGGAGTGAACTATGACTGTTCGACTATTCCCGTGTGGCAGTATCTCAACCACTCTGTTTTTTCTTTCAGTTTGAGTGAAAAGCTGGCACAGAAAGGCTTTCAAGGCTGAATGATCAGTACATTCATCCATTAGTATGATAGGTAATCAGTGAGATTTTGATCGTGATCAACTACGGTTAACTCAGTGACCCAGTTTCAGAGATACAGCACCCTAAGTAGAAAAAATCCGGCCATGTGGTCCTATGTTTGTGACCATTGGAAGGTTTTTACTGAGGCGAACCATATTCTGATGTTTACTTGAAGGGAAACAATTAACTTTGGATGACGTAAACGAGTCCACTGATAACAATCTTGTTCAAAAATTGTCTCCGTTTTGAATGTTACTTGAACTGTGCACTGCCTAGATGGTTAATTATCTTCGGAAGAAAACAGTTTTTTTCTTTGTCTGACGGTTTATAGGACACGCATTATAACCAGTTCAATTTTGCAGTTTCCTTATCGGTCGCAACTGAGAGATTCTTGATCGGATTCCAGATTGACCAGTCGAAAACTAGGTCTTTTATATTCCTTGCAATCGACGGACTGTTTCACCGCTCGATGTCCCAGTTTCTTGGTATTCCCTTTGAGAGGATCCATTAGCTGACAGATCGAAACCTCTTCCCTTCAAATTTTCCGGCGATCTACCGCATGTCACCATATTCCACTATCATGTCACTGCATCGCACCATAGTTTTTTTCACATTTCTAGTCCTAATCAAATTCCATCCTTCTTCCCGGTATAAAGCAAGTGTTGAATAAGCCACCTGAGCTTTCACAGTGTCGCCTCCTTATTTCTGCCATCAGTGATTCGGGATCATCCAAAGCCTTGCTTAGGAGGGCTATCTCACGTGCTTCTCATCATATCTTCTGGAAAATTAGGTTTTGTCTTGGACTTTGACCGGAAAAGTCTGGCTAGGTTGGACACCTCCTTGGGATTCATCAATCGAACCTGGAGGGAATTGGTACGTGACCATTCCCGTTGATCGAAATTGGTCCGTTTGGTCAAAGAACCGCAAGCATACAAAACACCGGGGATTAGAAAGAGGCACATTATCCTTGGCAGCAACGCCAGGTCAGAACACTGGCGGTTCACCGCCACACCAAGACGAAATGTTCGAAAAAGAATACAGTTATATTCAGGATAGGAGTCGTGTTATTCACAACATGACGTAATTGTTATCACTGTGAGTTTCGCCAAGGTGACTGAGAACTAACTGACCTGACTTTCAAATGACTCTCCAATGTTCTTGCAAAGTATTTGTTAATTTTCTTTGACGAAGCTGCATACAAACCAAATACTACCCCAACTAAACTTCTGATTTATCTGTTTCACTAATCGCTAATGGTTTTTTTTTGTGGTGGGAACTGAAAAATCTCGTTAGTTTATGATAAATTTGTTCAATCAGAAGACGAAGCAGATCGATAGATGTGTAGAATAATGGAGGGTTATCCTGTAAGTGAAGCCAAGGGTCGTTTGTGGCCAAACGTTTAGGAGTTCGGACCGCTGACCTAGAGGTCGCCGGTTCAAAACTCCCTAGGGTTTTGTGACCTACACATTGCTGATTATTCCCAATAGGGATAAAAAGGCTGTACATTGCTTCTTAGCTTTTCAGCACAGACTGACTGCACTCACAGGAGGATATCCTCATTGGAACTTCTCAACTCTTATCACACTATCAATAAATATCACATTTGTTTTCGCTATCTCAATCCTAATGCGCCAGATATATGTACAAAAGGTATAATCGCAACCGCTAAACACTGGTTGTCACGAAGGGAATGTGAATGTTGACAGTTCCTGAGTAGGCTGGTCTCCTAAATCAACCTTTCTGCTCTCCATTCGCTTAGGAAACCTGTAAGACTTAGAAAACAGTCATATTTGCACTCAACTAGAACATAAGGTTGACGGAAACTCGGGGACTACGCCTACCTGATGAGCCCCAAGAAGGGCGAGACCGGTCGTGGGCTGTCGAAGAGTTTTCAGCACCCTTGTGAGTAGTTTCCTTTATGAAAATATACTGCGACATCTCGAATATCGTGCCAACTGAATCATGAGACGGCATGTATGCAGCACATTCAGTTGTAGAGTAGCATAAACGAGAGATTCAGTTGAGTCGCTCGTGAAACCAAATTGATTGAGTGTATTTCTCGAAAATAGTCCAATTTGGGTTCAAGCAGAACATAAGGTTGACGCAAACTCGGGGACTACGCCTATCTGATGAGTCCCAAGAAGGGCGAAACCGGTCGTGGGCCATGTCTGACTAAAAGGAGAATAAGAGATTTTGCTCGACATTACTTGAAATGGCAGTAAATGTTACCAGTGGGATACCACTCTCATGGAAGAATAAGTTGTCTGGTCACAAAACTGCGATCGGTTATCAGCAAATCTGCAC